CTGGCTGGTGCCAAAACTCTCCCCGCGCGCTCCGGCACTGCTCGGCCGAGCTGCTGCCTGATGCCTTTGGCTTTCGCAGCCCAGCCTACGGAAACAACGTGCTCGCTCTCCGTTTCAATAGCTCACTTTTCGTTTTTGACTCCTTTTATTATTATTTTTAAAGCATGTGTAGCGCAAACCAAATCATCTACCTCCCGCTGGAGTCAGTCCAGCCCCGTGTTGGGCTTGGACAAGCTCCCTGCTTTATTTTTTATTGCAAATGACCGGAGGATGGAGCGGCTCGATGGGACATGGTGGCGTCCAAACCCCCACTGCTCCAGCCCACCCACACGCGCCGGCTGCTTTCTTGGTGCTTTCTCTTTGCAGCGTCCACCTGAACTGGGGGAGCACACGAGGGGCTCACTGCTGCTCACCAGCCCGGGGTGAGGTTCTGCCACCGTTTGCAGAGGTGGTGCCCGTGCCCCGTGCTCCTGGTGTGCAGCATGGGGACGGGGACAGGCACAGGGCCACGCCAGTGAGCCTGGGTGTGCAGCTGAAACACATCCAAGGCCCCATCCTGGCCCATCCCCGTGCCCCAGCAAACTTCCACGGGGGCTGGCGTGGCTCTGGGTTTGATGTGGGGACAGAGACGGGACAAGGGCCAGCGAGCGGCACGCCGCACCCCGCACCGGTCACGCTTTTACTGCCGGGTTTAAACAAGTTCTCCGTTTTACTGACCTTCAACCGCAATCACAGATCCCCCGTGGATCACATATATTGACTTAAAAAATAATTAGCCTTGAAAGGAGCAGGCGCGGTGCCTGCCTGCCAGCGCCATAATTAATATTTAAATAACAGGGGCCATAAATCAGCTGCAGCTCGGCGAACAAGCCCCTGGTTGTGCTCGCGGGGGAAGCGCTCGGCTGTGCTGCTCGCAGGAAAGTCGCCCAGTCTGTGGGCAGGGCCGTGCCCAGGAGTGTGGACATGGATGCTGAGGGAGAGGGACACGGTGGGGGGCGGCAGCAGCCCCCTTGCACTGGGAATGGCGAGGAGCTGCGTGCCGGGAGCGCGCCGGGAGCTTGCCAGGCCGACCAGCACAAGCCACAGACTGTTTCTGGAACGACGGGGGCAGCACAGGCTCCAGCTGCCCCAGCCCCCGCGCTCCTGCGAGAACAAGGTGACATTTCTTGTCTCCTTTCTCATGCTCGAAGTGTGAGATTTTTTTTTTTCCTTTTCCCGGAGCTTTCATTGCGTGCCAGGGGTTTTTAACACGTCTGCTCACCGACTGCCGGGGGAGCAGACACTCGCACAGTTAGCGCGGCGGCGGCGCGCTCTGAAGCTGTGCCAGGGGCCTCGCCGCACTGGCTGCAGCCGGGTCAGGCCCCCGCTCCCCCCGGAGCTGAGCAGCTCGGTGCTGCCCAGCCTCGTCCCTGCTCCAGCATCTTGGGGGAAAGAGCACAGCATCGCCAGATCCCTCAAGCGCTCCCCCAGTACGAACCCTCCCGGCCCAGCTGCTCCCACTGGGCTTGCCTTTTCGGCAAGGAGCGGTTGTGGTTGAACTCCGTGCCGTGCCGGGGGGCCTGGAGCTGCACCCCAAGGACGGCAGCCTGGCTGGACGCGGTGCCCAGCCCGGTGTTACACCGCGGTGCCCAGCCTGGTGTTGCACCGCTGTGCCCGGGAGCCGGCCGCGGTGCCCAGGCAGCAGAGTGGTGTGAGCTCCGTCCCGCGGCACCGCAGGCAGGAGGGGCTGCGCTCAGGAGCCCCCAAAGCATCTCCCCTGCTCCAGGCACGAAAAAAGTGACACCTTGTGCGACTTCTGCTGGCCATCCCGGAGCGGCTCCTGGCCCCCAGCCCCACAGGACAGGCAGGTGACACCCAGCCATAGCCATCATGGGCACAACTGGCCCATCCGCACCGTGAACAAGCCGACGTTTGCAACCTGCCCTGGGAGATGAGAACGTTGCACGGCTGCTTGTTGTGATTAATTATCATTTCATAACGCAGGAGAATTCAGGCATGAAAGAGCCTCTTCACAGACACGTTGTACACACTTTATCCATCATAGGAGACTCCAGATGTTTCCATTTTATTCTTATTAAATCACCGCCTGGAGAGCCTGGGTAACGTGAGGCCTCCTGCCCCGGTGCCGGGCACAGCCGCAGGGGACAGCAGAGCACCAGGGACCCTTTTTCCTTGAGGGATGAGACATGTGCCTGGGGGTCTCAGGCCAGACTCCCCCCAAGTTGCCCCTGCAGCCCCTTGGGAGAGCAAGGGCAGGTGGAATGACCCGTCTGGACCAAGGGAGAACGTGCAGGAGCTGAGGCCGTGCCTGGCGATGCCGGGTTACAGACGGCCACCTCGGCACAGAGCAGGGGGCTTGACTTTGCATCTGGCACACAGTGAAAGCGCGGCTGAAGCCAAAGCTGACGATCACCTTGTCCTCCCTCTCCCTTCCCTCCAGCTCCAGTTTCCCCCCAGTCCTGTTTCTCCCCAAGGGCCGGGGTCTCACAGGGGGACAGGGGGACACTTGCAAACGCTCCGCAGCACCCAGCAGCGAGGGGCTGAGCCACCCCAGGGTGCTGCTCCTGTGGCGTGGGCTCGCTGGAGCAACAAGCAGCCTCCTGTGAAAACACTCCTGTTGAGGGGAGGAGCAGGGGTGAATAAAGCCCAGGTGGGAGAAGAGGGAGCTGGGAAGGGAGGGAGTCAGAGATGGAGGCACAGGGGTCATACCAGGTAAGGAAAACAAATAAATAGCTGATTCAGGGGTTTGTTCTTCTCTTTTATTTAGCAGAAACTGTATTTTTACAGCTGCAATCCCTTAAAACGGGATTCTTGTTCCCTTAAACAAATCCTTGTAAAATAATGCTTCATAAAAATAAGCGTTCCTCTTCTCGACCCTGAAGACAGAAAAACAATAACGCCGGCAAGGCCCTCGCCGCGTCGCCAAGAAGGCTGATGGTGGCTGTCACGTGTGTCCCCGGCTGTGCCCGCCCGAGCCACAGCATGGCTGGAGCCTGGCCGTGGCCACCCCTCTGGGTGCCACGGTGGATATGGTGCAGCACTGGCACCGCTGGCTCTGGCGGGATGGGCAGAGCAGAGCTCCTCTCCCAGCATCCGCCGTGGCCACCTGCATCCTCACAGGGTCTGGGCTCTGTCGTGCCACCAGCGGCAGAGCCGTCCCCATCCCCTCCAGCCCTGAGCACGGCGCAGGGAGCACACGGGGCCTGGCTCCGCAGGCATTTACCGGGCGGGAGAGCAGCGGTCAAGGCTGCCTCGTCGCTGGAGACCTCCGACAATCTGCCAAGCACTTGTAGCATCAGGAACAATCCCATGGCAGGGCTCTCCCCTCCTTTACTTAATTTCCTTTAATTTTAATTCGGGGTTTTGGGGGTGTTTTTTTTCTCTAGGCTGCAGCTTTCTTTTTTCTTTTTTTTTTTTTTTTTTTTTTTTTCACTGCTGCTTTAGCAAAAGCGATTCAGGAAATTCCGATCAACTCCCGGCGCACAGCAGCCCTGCCCGTGCTCCCCGGCGGGAGAGGCAGAGAGATTAATTCTCATTAATAACCACCACGGGTCAATTATTGCGAGAAGGAGGAAAACCAGCAAAGCTCTTTGGCATCACGTGTTATTTAAGCTTCCAAAAATAAATGTTCTTTGCAAATCAAGCTGTTTGCAGCTCCGCGCGTGGAGCTGGCACAGAAGAAGTTGCTAGAGGAAAGGTATATTTATAGAGGGTGTTCATTTTAAATAAACAGGCACTTAAGGCAGAGGCTGCTGCTCCCAAGTGCTGCAGCCCTCCCCTGGGCTGTCCCGGCCAAGGGCTCCCATCCCTCGCCCTCCAAGCGAGCTCCCATCGCTGCCCGCAAAGTGCCGCAGTTGAGCCACAAACTCAGCGAGTCTCGGGCTCCAGCATCGTGATTTTAGTCCAGCACCCACTGGGAGACCCAGACCCCGTTTGGG